GATCTATTCCCCCGCCCCCCGCCTCCCAAAGTGCTGGGTATACGGGTGTGAGCCACTGTGCATTTTCCTCATTGAATAAATAAGAATATTTTGTTTACATGTGATAAAACCCATCTAAAAATAACCTTGAGTAAAAGGAAACTATTAGAAGGTATGTGAATGTGCATTTGGGTCCAAGGACCAAGGAATATGTGGAACCAGGGATTCAGCATCACCAGGACTTCCATTACCCCTAATCCCTGATTGAATCCTGCTGGGTCTCTTCAATTTTTTCTTTTCTACCACTACTAATTTAATTTAGGTTCTGATCATAATACAGGTGAATGTGCAATGAATGATAGCAGTGAATTTCCCCTTGGCTCGGTCTCCTTGGCAAGCAAACTAAATTTTTCCCTGCCTGAGTTCATGTTGAGTATTTTGTTGTGTGTGTAATTTCCTCTAAATACTTCCACAGTGTCAGTAACTATTCAGTAACTACTCTCAAATTGAGTCAAGAGTAAAATATAACCCTTTAAAAATCAGGTAAAACTAGAGAAAGTAGGTAAAAATAGTAATCCTGACTTTCATTAATCTATAACTGCTCTTTCAGTGATGTATGGCCTTCTAAAATGACACTTCTTTTTTGTTGTTGTTGTTGTGAGTTACTATAAATGGTATGTCTGCTCCAATCAGGGTGACTGGATTATTCATTTTTGTTGCTATACCTGTACATTTGTCATTTGCTCTGACTTGAGTGACTTTTCTCCATCTATGCCAGTTCTATTATGATTGTAATTGAAGCATTTTCCTCTAAATCCTCTGTGATCAGTCCACTTCTGACTCTGTTCTCTGCTTAGTCAATATTGGAAGTGTTGCAGAATTTTTCTTTGAGAAATGAATTCCATTCTTTTTTCTTTTCCTTCCTTCGCTTCCTTCCCTTTTTCTTTTCTTTTTTTCTCTTTGTCTCTCTCTCTCTCTTTCTTTTTCTTTCTCTCCTTCTTTCCTTCTTTCTTCCCTCCCTCCCTCCCTCCCTCCCGTCCTTCCTTCCTTCCTTCCTTCCTTCCTTCCTTCCTTCCTTCCTTCCTTCCTTCCCTCCTTCCCTCCCTCCCTCTTACCCTGTCACTCAGGCTAGAGTGCAGTGATACGATCTTAGCTCACTGCAACCTCTGCCTCCTGGATTTAAGCAGTTCTCTTCCCTCAGCTTCTTGAGTAGCTGGGACTACAGGTGTGCGTCACCATGCCCAAGCTAATGTTTTCGTATTTTTAGTGGAGATGGGCTTTTGCCTTGCTGGCCAAGCTGGTCTTGAACTCCTGACCTCAAGTGATCTGCCCGCCTCAGCCTCCCAAAGTGCTGGGATTGCGGGCGTGAGCCACTGCGCTTGGCCTGAGAAATGAATTTTTGTAAAGTGAGTTATACCTCTCATCTGTATATCCAAGTGGGAAAAACCTTAATCTATAATTATCAGACATTCTACATTCTTGACAATGGTTAACAAAGAAAAATTCTTTTCCATGTAGTTAATATGTCACCTATTTTTTTTTTTTTACAAATATTTTAGCTAGGTATCATATGTCATATGATAAGCTTTATTAAAGATAATGTTCAAGATTTATTACCTCCCATTGGAAAGGGTTATTTGCAAGTATCTTACCCTAGACCCGTGAGATTAGTGGTTTGCAAGGTGGTCTCATACCAGCAGTATTAGCATCACCTGAGATTATTTTTTGAAATGCAGGTTCTCAGGCCTCACTGGAGACGTACTAGATCAGAAACTTGGGTGAGGCTCAGCAGCCTATTTTAGTAAGCCCTCAAGGTAACTCTGATGTCCTTAATAAGACAGACCAATGGCAGAGAGCCTGGGGGCATTTATTTGATTGATAATACACCTCTTTTTTTTTTTTTTTTTTTTTTTTGAATGAACCAAGTACCATGGTCTTGTCAGAAGATGACTTCAAAACAGAGCATGGTTGTGTAATTAGCTGTGTGGTTTCAAAGGATTAGTTAACACAGCTATAAAAATTAAAGTAATAGTAGGAGAGTTTTGAGGATCAAATAAATGATGGAACAAGCTCTTCATGAACTTTTAAGGTCTATGTAAATTTTAGTTGCAAACTGTTAAGCTAAAGTTGTTTTCCTTTTGGGGCCCTTATTCATACTAGTGACTTTAGTGCTTTTTATTCACAATAGTGACCAGTTACTAAACTTGCTTCTGATTTTGGGCTATAGGATGTGAGCTTAAGAAAAGTTGCATGACCTGAGATTAGGAGGTCTGGGTATTATAATAAAGTCTCTATCAGTGCATGATGTTTCTTTGCCTGATTTCCTTATTTGCAAATAAAGGTGTAGCAAGCACTCCATTTGGTACTTTTAAAGACCTAATTAAATTATGTAATGTTTTGACACTGCTTTCGTTGTTGTAAGAGAAGAAGACAGTGAAATCAAAGCACCTATCACAAATGTGTGACACATAGAAGACATTTTATGGCAGCTATTTGTTATTCTTGTGTATAAAACTAGCTTTAGGCTGGCCATGGTGGCTTATGCCTCTAATCCTCCATTTTGGGAAGCCAAGGTGGACAGATCGCTTGTGTCTAGGTATTTGAGACCTGGGCAACATGGTGAAACCCTTTCTCTATGAAAATACAAAAATTAGCCAGTCATGGTGGTACACATTTGTGGTCCCAGCTACTTGGGAAGCTGAGGAGGGAGGATCATTTGAACCCCATGGGTTGAGATTGCAGTGAGCTGTGGTTACACCACTGCACTCCAGCCTGGATGACAGAGGAAGATCCTGTCTCCAAAAGTAAATAAATAAAGCTAGCCTTTTTGTTATCTTCCTCTTATTGCACTTCTACCTCTTATTTTGAAGTTTTGTTTTAGTTCCTAAGTACTGATTCCTCAGATTCCCAAATATCAATGTCCTGTACCAGGTCCTTGGTACATGGACCAGATTCTTGAACACTTAAAGCACTGTTGGTGTTGTACTTTGAGAACCACAGTATAAGAGCTATCAGTTGTTTGCCAGCTGGTTATTTAGCTGGAGTGGCAATACCTTGCCTTGATAATGTTACCACTTTTCAGGTTGTAGCTTCTTGCAAATCATTAGGGGTCTTGGAAATGATTTATCTTTCCGAAATAGATCCACAAACTCATTCATAACAAGAATATCCATTTGTAATATGAAATAGAAGTTTTGCATGATACTTTCTTCCTATTTCTTCATAAGAAAATTTTTCCAAATTATAATCATTAATTTCTTCTTGCACATGGATTTTGAGTGAAGGTGGTAATTCAGTCTGATTTACCCATATCCATTGTGGCAATGTGTTTAACACACGAGCCAGACTTATTTCTTTATTTCTTTCCATGACTGCTGGAGAAATATGAACCATGACTTATTTTATGATTACCCTTTTTTTTTTCTAGCTTCTAAACTGATTCTTTTCTGACTTCAGAGCTTGGGCATTGTATGTGTGTGTACATGAGTGTATACTATTTTCACATGATTTGGATTAAATTTTTATAATCAGAATTCTGTCGTGTTTACCTAATACTGTACATTTCTTGTTTACTGGTTAGAGTGAGTATTTTGTATAGAAAGCTGATTTCATTTCATTGCATATGGACATTTGTTTTTCATCCACAGAGGGTCTGTTTTTTGTGGGGATTGAGGGAAGTCCCTGGCTGAGGCACCATGGTGTGTTGATATGTGTATGGGCTTTTGGAGTTAGACTGTTTAAATCTGGATCTACTGCTTGTAACTTGTCTGATTTTTTTGAAGATACGCTTATTCTGCCAGCCTTGATAGATGTTAAGGATTGTAAGAGATGATTTTATATGTAAATGGAGATAACCATAGAAAAGAATATATGGTTAATGTAATCCATTGTTATTTCTGTATATTATTACTGGTTTGTTTGTGGGTTTTTTTTTTTTTCATGTGTTCGGGCTGAGCTGTTAATTTCATCTCCCTTTCTGAGTTTATGTATAGTCTATTTCTCATTGTTCTATTTCTCCACCCTTAAATTAAGTATGGTACTCTTATTAAGAGTGGGCATCCATGCATAGTGTTAACTGACATTGTGCATATACTGAATTGACTGCAAAAAGAATAGTCCATGTTAGACCAGGGCCACTTTTTAATTATACTTAAAAGATCTTGTTGTCAGCAATTAGAATTGGTTGGTTTTATAGAAATCCTTAAAAGATTGATATATTCCTAGATTTCAGAAATATTTTCAGTTTTACTTTTTATGATCTGATAATTCATGATACAGCTCTTATTCTTCAGGATAGAATGAATACTCCACAGATTTCTGGATTATAGCCTGGGAATCAGAAATAACACTGATTCAGACATTAAATTTTATTTTGATTTATTTAGGAAGGCGACATGCCAATTCATGAACTTCTCAGCCTTTATGGTTATGGTAGTACTGTTCGACTACCCGAAGAAGATGACGAAGAGGAGGAAGAGGAAGAAGAAGGTGAAGATGATGAAGACGCTGATAATGATGACAACAGTGGCTGTAGTGGGGAAAATAAAGTAAGCCTATATACATAAATTTAAGATTGTAGTCTTTATCTTGAAGTTAAAGTTTTTCTTATATATTTTGATTACTTGTTTTTATACTCTTTACTCTTCTTGATCTTAAGTATTAAAAATTAAGATATTATAGAAATACATAATATAAAAATTGGGAATCCCCTGTAAACTACTCCTGAGAGGTAACAGTTTGATCTTGTCATTCAGATTTTTTTCCCAGTGCTTATTCTAATTAATGTATACCAACTTTATAAAAAACACTATTGCTTTTAAATAATAAAGGCTAATTGGCAGTTTGTGCTTATTTTCCTTATTTTATTTTGAGATAATTTTAGATTTATAAAAGGTTTAAAGCTAGTATAGAAAGTTCCTGTATGCTCTTACCTCAGCTTCTGCTAAGGTTAACATCTTGGTACAGACTGAATTATTAACCAAGCTACAGATTGAATTATGCTAGTTTTTCTGCTAATGTACTTTTTCCTGTTACAGGACCCAACCCAGAATACCATATTACATCTAATATATTCATTTTAGTCTTCTACTTATATTAGAACAAAATTTATATGCTACCACCTTTCATCTGCAACAGTTTTCTTTATATCTTAAAGAAATTTAATTTATTGTTCCATAGGAAGAGAATATAAAGGATTCATCAGGTCAGGAAGATGAAACTCAGTCTTCCAATGATGATCCATCACAATCTGTTGCTTCTCAAGATGCCCAGGAAATAATCCGCCCACGTCGATGTAAATATTTTGATACAAGTAAGTGTTATTGGTTGATAATATTTGAATATAATTTTTACTATTTTAGGTATTCCCTAAAATGCTCATTTTTTAACTGGTCTTTGAATTCATTTAGTCTGAAATTTTTTTCAACAGTTAATGGATTTTGTTGTAAGTTATAAATTTAGCAATGCAGGGGCCCTGTTGTTAGTGAATATGCTACAGTAATTGTATCATGTACTACTTGACTTTGGGTGTATTTGTTTTTTCCTTGCCCTGTCTTTGAATGTTTGTTTCATGGTCACTTTTTATTTCTCATAGTCTTTCCCTTAGTTTACATTTTTTACTTTCTTTGCCTCTTAGTCTGTTTTAGGTATATTCATAAGTGCACCTAAATTTCTGTACTTTAAAAGGAAGAAAAACACTTGAAGAAAAATAAACTGTCATGAAATATGTAGTAAGATAATATTATCTTTATTCTAAATCAGTTTTTTCCCCTAAGTTTTTATAGGAAATCATTTCATGAGAATACAGTTATGTAGAAAGTTCATGGGTTTTTGGTTTTGGTTTTTTAAGTGATAGGGTGTTAATTATTTGGTTAGAAATATCTTGGCTTAATTCATTAGTTACCTTTGAGCATATCCAAATATTTGATGATAGATGTAAAAATAATATATAGATATATAGATGTAGACAGGATAAGCAGTCATTTTATAGTATTGGTGTCTTATTTATTCTAGATAGTGAAGTAGAAGAAGAATCTGAAGAAGATGAAGATTATATTCCATCAGAAGACTGGAAAAAGGTAGTTAGAACAATGTTTTCCCAAAATTTAGATAAATTAATTTTTTTTAAAAGGCCTAGTGTATTTATTATTTTTTTTTACTAGCCGTGTATATTGATAAAATTGATGTAAGCCCTTTTATGACATTTAAATGTTTGGTAAATGTTCAGAGTCTTTCTTAACACATCTAGGTTAGAAATAAATTTATCTTTTTATAAAATAAAATGAATTGAAAGAATTGGATTTTGTTGAGGAAGTCAGCACTCTTAAGACTAGAAATCCACATTTCTGGCCAGGCACAGTGGCTCACGCCTGTAATCCCAGCACTTTGGGAGGCTGAGACAGGCAGATCCGCTTGAGCCTGGGAGCTCAAGACCAGCCTGGGCAACATAGCTGGACCCTGTCTCATTTTATAAAACAAAACAAAAAATAAATAAAACAAAAATCCACATTTCTGATTTAGTCCTGAACTAGTGCTGAATTAGGCTTTTGTTGCCCTGCAAAAAGTATCACATATATATTTTTCAGTATTATGGAAAGCAGTTATGGAGGCTTTGATATTTGTTAAGTAAATTTTGTTTAATAGTTGTATTGCAAGTTTTTCATTCTGTATTTATAAAAGGAAAATTCTCCAAATGATTGAATTTAATGTTGACATTTATAACTGATAAGCATATTGTATGAAGAAACAGATATGGCTTCTTTGTCACTATATACAACTTAATTTCTGAAATGAATCTAAAGATAAATATTGAGATTAGTTTGAATTTTAAGTTGTTGTAAAAGAACTGAGGTCTTAGGAAAATCTATCAAAATGTTATGTAGAATTGGCTGGTTGCAGAGGTGTTGCCCCTATTGTCCCAGCTACTTGGGAGGCTGAGGTAGGGGGATTTCTTCAGGCCAGGAGTTTGAGACCAGGCTGGGCAACATAGTGAGACCCCATGTCTTCAAAAAATTTTTTTATGTAGAACTGGTTAAATCATTTATATGAAAGAATGATGTTATTTTTGTTGAGAGACAAGATTGGCCCAGTGTGTGGTATGTGTCAATTTGAGCAAATGATGGAATTCAAGACAGAAAACAAGAATCATGAAAGTTACTTACTGTTTGTGTGGCCTCTTTGGGCAAGGGTTCTTTCATCCTGTTGATTCCTATATTATGCAGAAATTCACATGAAAAAAGCTAGAAACCTTGGGAATCCTTTTAAATTGCTCTTCTACTACATATTCAAGTTTTTATATCTTCAACATTATGTTGTTTTTTGAAAATATGGAGTGTTCAGTAGATTAAGGAGTGTTCAGTTTGATTAAGCATTCATTCTTTTTTTAAATGAAAGAAAAAAAGCTCAGAGGTAGAACCCTTCATTGCTAGAAGGTATTAATTCGCCGCACCTTACTCAGAAAGGGTATAAATTAACCAAACCTTTCTCAGAAAAAAAATTATGTAATAAAGCAGGCCAGAGTAAATGCAGATTGTTTTCTTTCTTTATGATTTCTTGTTGTAAATAATTGTCAGGGTTCAGAGATTCATGTTTTTAAGGCTTATAAGATGAAATCAAATTTTTATAGAAACTTAAGATAGGGGAAACAGTTTTGAAGTCAAACCTGAGTTAAGGTTATAGCTCTAGAACTTACTAATTGTGTGCTCCTGAGAAGATCAAATTTTTGAGCTTTATCTTCTTACATGTAGTATGGGAATGACAATGTCAGCCTTATGGGGCTTGCTGAAAGATTAAATGAAAATTACATATATGATACGTTGTACATAATGATCTTCAAAGAGCTATTTCCTGTCCCTTCCCTGTACTACAGAACAAATTAACAGATGAAAAGAAATGTTCTGAACTGAACAGGGAAAAGGTAGTGCCTATCTTTATACTAATCCATATGTTCTCAACCCTGTTTTTATGTTAAAATCATTTGTATAGCTTAGAAGTACTGAGTACCAGGGCCTTCATTCATAAATTCTAATTTAATTGTCCTGGAATGGATCCAGGCATTGATTCTTTAGAAGCATGCCAGCCAGAGTTAGTAACTTGACAGTGTTCTTTAGTAGGCATAGGTGAGTTAAGGTAAAAGAGGCACACGATGTGACAATAAAGACTCTTTTTATAGTAGAAGATGTAAAGAGTTCCATTGTAAGAGTGGAGAAGATTTGTTGTAAGTTTGTTTATTTTTGGAAAACTGATCATGAGAAAGATTGGTTTTTCTTACAGGTATAGCAGTAACTTTATTACATAAAGCACATCTTTGAAGTTGTACTGGATAAAATGAGATCCTCACATCAATTGGGGTTACAATAGCAGGAAGGAGACTTTTCAAATCCTAAGAGTTATCTAAACTTTTAGACCATGATTTTGTACCTTTTGTGCCCAATTTTGAAAATGTCAGTAAATGTGTTCTTAACATTTAGCTATCAGACAAAAGAGTGTTCATATAATCTCCGTCTCCTTGAGTTGTGAAATTTCACCAGTGGTAGTTTCCAGATGCTTTTCAGAACAGCCAGTTTCACCCAGCCTGTGATTTGACTGTGTATATTTGTTACTGGATTTCCTATTTAATTATATTTGTAGGGACAACATTTTGTGTTGTTTTAATAAAAGTCAAGCCATAACCTGCTTATCTATTTTGTTTAGTGTTTCATTCATTTGGCCCCTACTGAGCTTTATACAAACTCTTTTTGTTTTCTTAACCTTGAAGCTCTGTTTTTCAGACTTAAGTGTATGTCAGAATCACCTAGATAGCTTGTCAAAATACCAGTGACTGAGTCCTGTTCCCAGAGTCTGTAGGTCTGGGGTGGGGCCTGAGCATTTGCATTTCTAACAGTTTCCCATTAGCCATGTGTGGTGGCATGTGCCTGTAGTCCCAGCTACTTAGAGACTGATGTAAGAACATCACTTGAGCCTGGGAGGTCAAGGCTGCAGTGATCCATGATCATTCCAGCCTAGGTGACAAAGCAAGACCTTGTCTCAAAAAACCAAAAATTTTTTAGGTGATGCTGATGATACACATGCAGGGATCATATCTGTCTTAAGTGTAGATATTCTGAAAATACCTGAATTTGACTTTGTTTTTTAGGTATTTTGCGGTTATCTTACTAATGGAATTATCAGAATTCACTTTTATTTCTTTGTCTCTATATTTTGAAGTTTTGTATTTATTGTTTACATTGCATTTCACCCATTATTACTAATATTTTCATCCAGTCATTGTTTATTGTCATTCATCTTCACAGTACTCCTCTGAGGTACTTAATTCGTTGTATTTGTATTTTATGACAGAGAAACCAGGAACAGTTTACTAAGATGGTGAAGCTAAAAAATGGATATAAAGTCTGTGTTACTAGATCTTATTAATGTTTTACGTTATTTTTGAAATAGGAGATTATGGTGGGCTCCATGTTTCAAGCAGAAATTCCAGTTGGCATTTGTAGATACAAAGAAAACGAAAAAGGTGGGTTATTAGTAAAGTTACCTAGCTGAGTTTATGCTTTCAATGTAGTGATCTGTTACTTTATATGTAAAATGTGATTAAGAATATGACAGCCTACTAAGTAACCCCACTGTAACCCCATTGCTTTGTGAAAGAGAACCCTTCATTGTTTCTGTGAGAAGAAATATGTTATACTCAATTTTTTCAGTTTTGTCTATAGTATAGTATAGCCAAAAAAAGAAAAAAGTGAATGCTTTTTTTTTGTTTTGAGTGACTTACAATGTCTCAACAGTTTCTTACTTTTTTCCCTATATTTTCAATGTTCTGTACTTTAATCCTTTTCTAACCTTTATAATTTAGTTTTTTAAAGGCCATTTTATATCAGTGAAAGGAATTAAAAACAAACGAGAGTAAACAATGATATAAAAAGCTTATTTGCTTCTGAAACTTTCAGTAAGCAAAACGGAATACTTACTAAAATGGAGTACTTTGATATTTGTGTTTTTAAAATAATTTGAAAAAACAACTTGTATACTTAAATTTTACATGATTTTTAAAATTTCATTTGAAAGTCCTAAGGTAAGTCATACTTCAATAACATGTAATACTTGAAGATTTTTTTTTAAAGAGCCTGCTTTAGATTATTAACGTCATGTGAGTTCCAGAAAGAATGTTGTGTATGTGTGCTTCTAATGAGTTCATGTGCAGTGTGACATCACTCAGCACTAGAAATCTTTCTTCGTTTCGTTTATTTCAGTTTTCTTCACATTTCAACTTAATATACACAAAGCCCTTTGGAGTTTTATTAATAGAAGTTTTTTTGTTGTTTATTTCTTTTTAGCATTCTCTCCAAAAACTTACTTTATATTCTAAGTATGCACCTACTCTCAGGGCAAAGCAGCAGGTCAGAGGCAGTCAAGGGAACATCACAGGCCAGTACAGTTTTTGTGATAGCAATATGTTTTAATACATCATTTAAATGTTTAATAGCTAGCATTTATTTTTCAAGGTAATTCCTGCAACATATAGGGACATTGAAGGTTTCAGTATGGAGTGACTTCATTATATATTGAAATTCTATACGTATGATATGTTCTGTGAACAATTGTGTGCACAAATAAATGATCTGTTGGCTTTTGTATTTATTTTTGTAATTAAGTCTCAGTTTTATGCTTTGCTTATATAGTGGTTAGCACATGTTCACCATTGAGTTTTTTTCCTGCAAATAAATGAACTGAAAGTTAGACATTTGTTTCTTTTTATTAAATTTTTAAATTTTGACAATAAAACTGCGCCTATTTTATACTTACATTTTAGTATTTATATTATAGTTGAAGGTAGTTTTATATCAATATACTTTTTTTTTAATTTTAGTATATTTTATTGTATCTCAACAGTGAATAATGATTCCATTCTCTTATTTTTTATGCTTAATTTTAATTTTTTATTTTTGTGGGTACATAGTAGGTGTATATAGTTACGGGGTACATGAGATGTCTTGATACAGGCATGCAATATGTAATAACCACATCATGACAAATGGGATATGCATCCTCTCAAGCATTTATCTTTTGTGTTACAATCTAGTTATACTCTTTTAGTTCTCTAAAAATATACAATTAAGTTATTATTGATTATGGTTATCCTGTTGTGCTGTTAAATACTAGGCATTATTCATTCTATTTTTTTGTACCCATTAACCATCCTACCTCTCTCACCCCTCCCCCGCACCCACCTCCCCAGCGTCTAGTAACCATCCTTCTACCCTGTCCCCATGGGTTCAGTTGTTTTTACTTTTAGATCCCACACATAAATGAGAACATGTGATGTTTGTCTTTCCACATCTAACTTTTTGCTTAACATAATGACCTCCAGTTACATCCATGTTGTTACAAATGACTGCATCTCATTCTTTTTTTATGGCTGAATAGTACTCCATTATGTATAAGTACCACATTTTTTTTTATCCATTTATCTGAATAGTACTCCATTATGTATAAGTACCACATTTTTTTTATCCATTTATCTGTTGATGGATACTTTTTTTTGCCATATGTGTGTATTCTTTTGAGAAACATCTATTCAGATCTTTTGCCCATTTTTAAATCAGATTATTAGACTTTTTTCAATAGAGTTGTTTGAGCTCCTTATTTGTTCTAGTTATTAGTGCCTTCTAAGATGGGTAGTTTGCAAGTATTTTGTCCCATTCTGTTGGTTGTGTCTTTGCTGATTGTTTCCTTTGCTATGCAGAAGCTTATTTACTTAATGTGATCCTATTTGTCTATTTTTGCTTTGGTTGCCTGTGCTTGTGGGGTATTAAATCTTTGCCCTCAGTCCATGTCCTGGAGAGTTTCCTTAATATTTTCTTGTAGTAGTTTCATAGTTTGAGGTCTTAGATGTAAGTCTTTAATCAATTTTGGTTTTTGTATGTGACAAGAGATAGAGGTCTAGTTCTATTCTTCTACCTATGGATATCCAGTTTCCCAGCACCATTTATTGAAGAGACTATCTTTTCCCAGTGTACATTCTTGGCATCTGTGTCAGAAATGAGTTCACTGTAGGCATGTGTTTGTTTCTGGATTCTCTGTTCTGTTCTATGTGTCTTATTTTTATGCCAGTACATGCTGTTTTACTGTAGCTCTGTAGTATAATTTGAAGTCAGGTAATGTGATTCTTCCAGTTTTGTTCTTTTTGCATAGGATAGCTTTGGCTATTCTGGGTCTTTTGTGGTTCCATATAAATTTTAGGAAATTTTTTTCTGTTTCTAAGAATGTCATTGGTATTTTGATGGGGATTGCATTGAATCTGTAGATTGCTTTGGGTGTATAGACATTTTAACAACATTGATTCTTTGAATCCATGGACGTGGAATATCATTCCATTTCTTTGGTGTCCTCTTTAATTTCTTTTGTCAATATTTTCTAGTTCTTTCACTTCTTTGGTTAATTCCTAGGTACTTACTTTTATTTGTGGCTATTTTAAATGAGATTACTCTTTTGATTTCCTTTTCAGATGTTCACTGGTGGCATATGGAAATGGTACTGATTTTTGTATGATGTTACCTGCAACTGTACTGAATTTGTCAGTTCTCATAGTTTTTTTTATAGAGTCTTTAGATTTTTCCAAATATAAGATCATATCATAAGCAAACAGGGATAATTTGACTTCCTCCTTTCCAATTTGAATTATCTCTGTATCTTTCTCTTGTCTGATTGTTCTGATTTTTTCATAGTTTAAATTCTAACTGAATGTTTTCCATTTTAACATTATTTTAGAAAGTAATTATACATATGTAATTTTTTTTTTCAGGAATGAGTGATTTATGAAGCATTCTCATTTTGAGAACTTAAGCATATTAGTTTGTGTAAAGAGGATCAGACTAAACCTAGCTGAATGAGATTGCTCTGGAGGGATTGCTGTGCTAAAGGGCCATTCCTCAGCTTTATAGTTGTAGAAATTAAAACTTTTGTCAAGATATCCAGAATTTGTCTCCACTTAGGGTACCCTTTACCACAAACCAAATTCGTGAAACTATTATGTAAGCCATGCTCTTAGAGATAAACCTTGTCAAAGGGACAGTGCTGATTAGTGCATTTTATGGAAAATATTTCACAGGATATTTTTCATCAGTTTCATGACCACAGACTTTTTTTTTTTAAGTGCTATAAAACTAAGATATCCTGATATCCTTATTATAGGGACTACTTATCGGATGAATCAGAATTCTCCTTTTCACTGATACATGGAAACCTCCTTACCTAGTATCTTGGAGAGACATTGACAATTTTTTTCTCTCTGCCATCCGACTTTTTTTATTAGGCTCCATGCAGATTATACATTCCTTATTGGTTAGCACTCGTAATTCAAACAGTTAAATATACCTGATTTGTTAGTTTATAATAATAATCCAGGCATGCTTCTTTGGACTTTTATCTATTTTGGTTATAAAATCTCTTGAGCTATACTTAACTAACATTTTCTTAAATTCATGTACATTATTTATACTAACCACAATGTATTTTAACCTTTTGTTTACTCATCTTTGTAGCCTTACTACTAAGTAGGCTGATCCTTGCCCCATAGGCCCTTAGTAAATATTTTGTGCCTAAGTTAATAGTGGGTGAATTATTTTTGAACTAGGGTTTCCCTGTATGGCATTGTGTACCCCAGCGATCCCGAGGATATAAGAACCTTAGTTTGTGGAGAACAGAGGCTGAGCAGAGAATGGAAATCAACAGCAATATATCCAGATTCATTTTATCATGGTAGTTTTATTGTACTTATAATTTAGGGTATAACTAGGATTGTACCAGCAGATTAGAAAAGGAATGTTGTTGGCTGGGCATGGTGGCTCACGCCTGTAATCCCAGTACTTTGGGAGGCCAAGGCGGGCAGATCGTGAGGTCAAGAGATTGAGACCATCCTGGCCAACATGGTGAAACCTCGTCCCTACTAAAGATACAGAAATTAGCTGGGTGTGGTCGCGCACGCCTGTAGTTTCAGCTGCTCAGGAGGCTGAGGCAGGAGAATTACTTGAACCCAGGAGGCGGAGGTTGCAGTGAGTGTCCATCGTGCCATTGCACTCCAGCCTGAGCTACAGGGTGAGACTCTGTCTCAAAAAAAAAAAAAAAAAAAGAAAGAAAAAGGAGGAATAATGTTTATTAAGGAAAATTTTCTCAATATTGTCCCTTGAGCTGTACTTTAAGGAAAAGTATCTATTTTTGGAAGCAAGAAAAGGTAGAAGG